ACCGCACTCCGCTCCCTCATGATGATAGGCATAAGGTAAGACAAGACGTTTGGGTCAACCACGGCATCGAGGACCATGCCCTGCGCCCCTGTAGGAAAGTACCATCGGGGCATGACGGGACAAGCGCTTAGACCCTTCTAGGCGTGGCAGAGCCTGAATAGTGTTGCGGGCACATGCCCTTCGCCCTACAGTGTTGTAGGCGCCGCCTTCAGCCTCCGGGCGAAGAACCCGACAGGGACATACGACAACCACTACGTTCCAAGGGGGAACTCCTGCCCTCTATGATGGGGAACGAGCGGTCACCGCGCTGTCTGCTCGCCACGAGGTCGCAGATCGACACCCCTGACCGACACGCCGCCCGTGGAGGCAGGACAGGACATGACCACTTGTAGAGCATGGCATCATCAACCCATGCGTGCCTGATGAACATGCCCCATCTGACACTGTCCGGTTATGTCAGGGGGGCTAGCCCAGAGGAAGAAGAAGACCTGGTGCCTTCGGAGGGGCTCCTTGGTCTCTGGTTCTTTCTCCTTCCTCCGACATGTAAGCCCCGCTCCCCTTGGTCTATAAAAGGAGGGACAGGGCACCCCAACAAATGGACCGACTTTTGATGAACAACACACACACACATATGAACTCATATAGAGTCCAGCTCCACACATCCCGTAGACAGCCAAGCCGCCACCAGGCTCCTGGCATCCTTTTGACCCTTCCATCAGAGACCTAGGACCAGTCCCTCTCTCGACCGTTTGTACTCCCTACTACGAACCATTTTCGGTGCTAATAACACAAGCAGTAGTAGACTGGACGTAGGGACATTCGACCCAAACCAGTATAAACCTTGTGTCCTTTAGCGCACCATCCGGACCTGACGCGCATCTATTATAAATTTACTCGCTGGTGTTTGTTCGAAACACCGACAGAAGTCTACAAGAATCTTATGATAGATGACTTAGAGGACTTGAGTTGCTTTCGGCTGCGTGCTCTTGAAAATATCAAAGCCAATAAACTGAGGGTTGCAAAATATTACAATAAGAAGGTCAAGATTAAGCAATTTTTTGAAGTAGACTTGGTCTGGAAAGTGAAATTGCCGATCGAGTTAAAGGACAGTAAGTTCGGCAAATGGTCACCTAATTGGGAAGGACGTTATCGGATCAAACGTTGTGCGCCTGGTAATGTTTATATTTTAGAAACACTAAGAGGAGAGGAAGAATTTGGTAGAGCAATCAATGGAAAATATCTAAAGAAATATTACCCTAGCGTTTGGATTAATAATTGACAACCGATTTGTTCGGTCGTTGGCTCTAATAGCGAATACCAGAAATGTATCACCTCTAGTGCAAAAATAAACCCAAAGGGGTAAAAGCTAGTACGATGTGTATCGTCTATAGGAGCAAAGCAAACATGGATAAAGTGATGCATATAATATGAAGTACGAAGCAAAGGAAAATCACTCAAGATAGAGAAATTGTTTGCTAAATATCACCTATTACAAACTACGGGCCGGAAAACACTTTGGTTACTATATCATCAGCCTGGGAAATAAAGGCTACGGAGTTGGCGGCACTGAAGAAATCCTCAACCAGGCACTCATGATCCCTAGGGTGCGTCGTGGCTGAAAAACCGTAGGGAAGAAACCAAAGTTTGTGACCAGAACGGGCTTGCGCAGCAGCCAACGCCATGGTGGCACCATGACGAATGCCATACAAAGCGACCTCCCTGACACGGTTCAGGATGTCGTGCAGGCGAACCACCAGGACGGTGCCTCTGGCATTGACGAATCCTGCCGTGTACTCCGTAGCCAATCGGAGGCTTTCCAGTTGAGCGAACAAATCTAAAAAGATTCAAAGGGGAGATGATCAGAATCTTGAAGATGAAATTGAGAGGAAGAAAAAGTTATGATAGATATCTCACCCATGATTCTGGCATCAGCCTTGGCCAACCTATCCTCCACCGAATCGGCCTCGGGAGGTGATTGGCATCGGACCATGGCCAGAGTCGATTCTGCGAGGGAGAGACAGTTGGTGAGATTCTGGCCATGCGTGTCGATGGAGGCGAGCAGGTCATCATTGTCGACCCGCCTCCTCAGATAGCAGGGAAGCTGGTGGCGAGCTGTTGACGAAGAGAACCTCGAAGGCTGAATGGAGTCGGCCCTATGCCCCGAAGCAGTGAGAACATCACGAGTTGCACCCTCCTGGTGATGAAGGCGCTGGCGTGATGACGTAGCTCCATTGAGGGCCTCCTCAGCTGATCTTTTGCTGTTCTCCATGATCTCAAGCCTATAGAAAAGTAGAAATCGCACAAAAACACGAAAGGTTTGAGACGACGCAGGATATTTTTTGATCCACAGCCGTGGCCCGTATATATAGCCCGGGAAGGTGAGAAGATAGATTTCGCCGGGGTGTGGAATTGAAGTCAGATACGGAAATGGATCGACACTCCAGAAATTTAGGGGATGGATAACGAAAAGATAACATATTCGGACTTATTGCTTCCCATAATTACAAAATATTGTGGGATGGATACGAAAGATTTACATTGACCAGCGATCGACCCATCGAGGCTTCTTTGGATTGAAGGGAGTCCGGATACCCACAAGGCCAAAGGTCATCATGAACCGAGTCACATTGGCCCGTTGATAAAATTATGACAGAGAAGGGGAAAAGCCGCCTGCCTAACAGATGCCCAGCTGATTTCTCGGTGACTAGGAAACTATGGGAAAGAAGCCTGTGGCTTTCTCGATGGGCATTTGATGGAGTAAACAAGGAAAAGGTGTCCACACATTTTAGCCCTTGCAAACACTAGAACAGTTCTGCGAGCATGGAGAGAAGACTCAAGTGATATCACAAGAATACTTCTAACCGCAGTAGCTGATCCTCTTGCTCGACAAGGCGCTAAGATGAGTGGTACAATCACCCTATGCACAAGAATTTTTCTAACCACTCAAGATCTTCATGGCAAAAAGATAGACCATGGAGGGTCAGGCGGAGTCAGAGGCACTCGAGGAAGCAGATAGAAGAGAAACATAGCTGAATTGTTGAATTGTTCTCGCTAGAGTCGGATAGACATTTTATAGTCGGCCTGGAAAGATGGATCCAAGCGCCCGTGAAGCAATGATACTCTCGTAAAGGTTTTGAAGCATGGGCTCATGAGCTGACATAGACGGTGACAAACAGTAGACCCCAAATCAAGATTCTCTACCCGTGACTGCGGACCTATCGGGGGTACAGACGTGATAATTTTGGAATAAAATTACTTTTATCCTAAAATTGGGGGCATGTGTTTACACCAAAATTTGGAAGAAAGAATTGCAGAAACTCGAAAGCTTCCAAGATCATGTCATCAAGAAATTGATTGCATGAAGTTCGGTATCAGCTGATTCGAATGTAGCACTAGAATCGGCTCTCTTTAGATAGCGCCAGCAGATGACGACAAAAGCTACGGTCAGCGCCGGAAAGAACATGTTGGGCTCTAAAAAAGAAAAAGATTAGGGTTCAAGTTATCTAAAATTAGGAATGTTTTCTCGTAGGCCAAAAAATTGTGAAGAGTCGTGCTTAAGTAGGATTCATGCGTAGGTTTCGGGTATAAATATTCGACATCCACTGCAACTCTGGTATAAGCTAGTTATCGACTCTTATTTAGTTCAAGTAAGGCTGCATCGATCCGGTCGACATCCACTGCTCGAACTAGATGAAGGTCAAGTTATATGCACTATCTAAGGGTGGCGTCCTTCGGATAGATTTATTAACTTACCGATATTGCTTATTACTTTCATTATTTATTTAATTACAATAATATCACTTCGTCCGATTAGGATTAATCTGGATCCGCCCTATATCCTGTTTAACCCATCGTTTATTAATCTAAACTAATCTAATCTGCACCTTAAACGATGAGTTATGTTTTATCGGCTGTTTTATGTCAATCTTGATCGTGCATAGTATGCAGTTAAGGCATGTCTGGTCTTGAATAGATCTATTGGCTAACGAAAACTGTTCCATGGCCCGTTATTACGGTCTGTGTGATTCTGCCTCACATCCCACTGTTAGCACCATTAAGTGGAGATCGTTATTTGGTAGATCTGTTCTTGATAGGGCATGACCTTAATTGTGCGCTATGCCTGAATCGGTTGTTTTAGCCGATATCGAGTGTTTTCACATATGCAGTTCACATCACGAGACCGTTGAAGTAAAGATAGGTTGAAAGATGTGTTAGCCCCATAATCTTATTATTTTATTACGGTCTGCATGATTCTGCCTCATGCCCTACTGATATTAGTAATAAGTTAGAGTCGTCGAATTTATTGCTGTTTTTACGGCCTGCATGATTCTGACTCATACCCCACTGGTCATAGCGATAGATAAGATCTAATATGTTCATAGATTTATCTCTATTAAATGGTTAAATGATAATGGACTGAATTTTTATATAAAAAAGGATTCGGTTACTTTCAGTCATTGGCTTAGCATAAACTGATAAGTGTTGACATCTTATTGCCATTGACTAATATTTATCTAAATAACGATATTTATCCTGAATGACAACCGATTTTTCTTTCATAATTTTATGAGCTTTAACTGATTTATTCTTATGAGTATGCTGGAATCAGTTATTTAGTCGATCTCCTTCTACATCGGTTCTCAGAGCCGCACATTCGGGATTGTCTGACAACACCGGCATATTCTGTCTTAAATTACTGATTTAATTTTCTCTTCTTATCAATGCATGGTTAAATTGACTGGCACGTTTAGGAAGGAGTGCGCAGGATCGATAATCCCTGTGTTAAAGTTAGGCGGATCTCCAGCTCCATCAAACGAACCATTCCGGCTTGCTCGTGTGCCTCGACACGGGACGAAATTTCGTGCCGACACCATTGTTCCGAGGAGCCTCTGCTGAACGGCGCGCACGAGGCGGCCGGTGAGAACAGCAGCATCGCCGGCGCCGACGGCGCATCCTTGCTCACTGGCGCCGGCTTTCTTAGCGTGCTCACCTTCTCGTGGATGTCCCCTCTGCTCAGCTTGGGCCACAGGAAGAGCCTCGTCCTGGAGGACGTCCCGGGCCTCGAGTCCGGCGACAGCGTTGCTGGCCTGCTCCCGTCGTTCAAGGCCAACCTTGAGGCGCTCAGCCGCGACGGCGACAGCTGCAGCTCTAGCTCCAGCCGGAAGGTCGTCACGGCGTTCAAGCTCACCAAGGCCCTGCTGCGCACCGTCTGGTGGCACGTCGCGGTGACCGCGTTCTACGCGCTGGTCTACAACGTCGCCACCTACGTCGGCCCGTACCTCATTGACTCCGTGGTGCAGTACCTCAACGGCGACGAGAGGTACGCGAGCAAGGGGCCGCTCCTTGTCGTTCGAGTGCCTGTCGCAGCGGCACTGGTTCTTCCGCTTGCAGCAAGCGGGGATACGCGCGCGGTCGGCGCTCGTCGCCATCGTGTACCAGAAGAGCCTCGCGCTTTCCAGCCAGTCAAGGCGGAGCCGCACAAGCGGAGAGATGATTAACATCATCAGCGTCGACGCCGACCGCGTCGGCATCTTCGCATGGTACATGCACGACCTCTGGCTGGTGCCGTTACAAGTAGGCATGGCAATGTTCACCCTGTACTCAACGCTCGGGCTCGCCTCGCTTGCCGCGCTCGGTGCCACCGTGGTCATCATGCTTGCCAACGTGCCTCCCGGAAAAATGCAGAAGTTCCAGGAGAAGCTCATGGACAGCAAGGACGTCAGGATGAAGGCGACGACTGAGATCCTTCACAACATGAGGATTCTGAAGCTGCAGGGGTGGGAGATGAAATTCCTGTCCAAGATCATTGAGCTGAGGAAGACAGAGACGAATTGGCTAAAGAAATACCTCTACACATCGGTCACGGTGACCTTCGTCTTCTGGGGGACCCCGTCCTTCGTTGCTGTGGTCACCTTTGGAGCTTGCATTCTCATGGGGATCCCGTTGGAGTCAGGGAAGGTGCTGTCAGCATTGGCCACGTTCCGCGTGCTCAAGGAACCGATATATGTCCTTCTTGACACTATCTCAATAGTGATTCGGATCAAGGTGTCTCTTGACAGGATAGCATCATTCCTATGCCTTGACGAGCTGCCGAGTGATGCTGTGCAGAGGCTTCCAAGTGGTAGCTCTGACTTTGCAATCAACGTCAACAATGGGTGCTTCTCCTGGGAAGCCTCACCTGAAGTCGTCCCAACACTGAAGGACCTCAACTTCCAAGCTAGGCCAGGCATGCGTGTTGCGGTTTGTGGGACAGTTGGCTCCGGCAAATCGAGCTTGCTGTCTTGCATTCTTGGCGAGATTCCAAAGTTATCGGGAGAGGTCCAGATTTGTGGGACAACAGCATATGTCAGTCAGTCAGCATGGATACAGAGCGGCAAAATTCAAGAGAATATACTGTTCGGCAAGGAGGTGGACACAGAGAAGTATGACAGAGTACTTGAGTCATGCTCGCTGAAGAAAGACTTGGAGATTTTGCCATTTGGTGATCAGACAGTCATCGGCGAGCGAGGCATCAACCTTAGTGGCGGGCAGAAGCAAAGGATTCAGATAGCCCGCGCTCTTTATCAGGATTCCGACATCTATTTGTTCGATGATCCATTCAGTGCAGTTGATGCCCATACAGGATCCCACCTTTTTAAGGTACATGATTTATTGATTTATTCTAATTAAGCTTCATCGCTAACAACTTTATTTTGCAGGAATGCTTGCTTGGGGATTTGGCTTCAAAAACAGTGGTTTATGTTACTCATCAGATTGAGTTCCTACCTACTGCTGATCTCATTCTTGTGAGAAATTCTTTGTAAAGTTTTAATGCATTATCGTTACCATAAGTTCGTATGCCTCTTCTTATAAAGCTCGTAATGTAGGTCATAAAAGATGGGAGAATAGCACAAGCAGGAAAATACAACGAAATACTAGGTTCAGGGAAAGAGTTCATGGAGCTAGTTGGTGCTCACAAGGATGCTCTGACAACATTGGATGCGATTGATTCCATGAATGGAGGCAATGTGCCCTCTCCTTCAAGTGGCAAAGCAAAGCCAAAGCTTTCCAGATCACTGTCATCAGTTGAGAAGAAAGATAAAGCCAACAATGATGAACAGAATGCTCAGAGTGGGCAGCTGGTGCAGGAAGAAGAAAGGGAGAAAGGTAGGGTAGGGTTCTGGGTCTATTGGAAGTACCTCACACTAGCTTATAAGGGAGCTCTTGTACCGTTTGTGTTGCTAGCACAGATACTTTTCCAAATACTTCAAATTGTGAGTAATTACTGGATGGCTTGGGCTGCTCCCGTGTCAAAGGATGTTGAGCCTCCGGTGAACATGTCGACACTGATCTATGTCTATGTCATCCTGGCTCTTGGAAGCTCACTGTGTATCCTTGTAAGATCACTGTTCCTTGCAACAGCTGCATACAAAACAGCGACTTTGTTATTCAACAAGATGCATTTGTCCATATTCAGAGCTCCTATGCCTTTCTTCGATTCCACTCCGAGCGGGCGCATCTTGAATAGGGCAAGTCATTCGTCGGATAAAATATTGTTAGTTCAATTCATTTACTTGTACTATGCTAATTCATATATTCAAAATTTGCAGGCTTCAACTGATCAAAGTGAAGTGGACACTATCATTGCTGGCCAGATGGGCTTTGTTGCATTTTCCATCATTCAACTTATCGGAATTATTGTGTTGATGTCAAGTTGCATGGCAGGTCTTTGTTGTTTTCATCCCTGTATTTGCTACCTGTGTCTGGTATCAGGTACTTTTTACCAATATATCCTATCATCGCCCATGTTAAACTGCAGGATCACCCCATATCTCATTTTACTTCCTTGTACTAAATCCGTTCCAAATTATAATTCGTTTGACTTTTTTACTCCAAGTTTGATCACTCGTCTTACTCAAAAAAATTTGTGCAAACATAGTCAAATTTAAGTCATTCTTGAAGAACTTTTGTTAATAATGCAAGCCACAACCAAAGAAGTGATATTTTGCACAAATTTTTGAATAAGACAGTTGTCAAACTTTAAGTCAAAAAAGTCAAACGAATTATAATTTGGAACGGAGAGAGTACATGTTAGATGTAAATGTTGTGTAGCAATAAGGGCACCTATGCATATATGCCCATCCCATGTACATGTTTGGGCTGTTGCCCCCCTGGAATAGATTGAGCTCACTCCACTCTAACATGGGTATCCAGAGCCTGGTTACGCTAGGGTCACCTGTGGCCGCCGGCCCGCTGACGACTCGTCCCGCCGGTTTCTCCCTGCCGCGCCGCCACCGTCTCGTCCCTGCGTGCCGCCATCGATTCGTTTTCCTGTCGCGGTTCATCTTCTTCTTGTCGCTGGCGTCGCGGCTTCTTCCTGTGGCCGCCGCCGTGGCTCCTTCCTAATGGCCACCGCCACGCAGCCCCCTAGGTCGCGCCTCTCGTGGTGCTCTCCCTCGAGCCACGCAGGCGCAGGCGTGTGCATGTGGTCTCGACCACGAGTCCACGCAGACACGTGCGAGCAGGGCGTGCGGGCCCCTCAGGTGCGGACGCACGCGAGCAGGGCATGTGGGTCCTGATGCGCGGACACAAGCAGGCCCCTCAGCCGCACCTATGACTTCCTGACTCATCTTCGTGCTGAGTTTGAGCCTCTTCGTGCTCAATTACTTGCTCATGAGCCATGTGTGTCCTTGATGGAGGTAGTTGCTGTTGTTCATAACGAGGAGACCTATCTTTGTTCTATTGGTCTGCTTCAGTTGACCTCCTCCTCAGTTCTGGCTACTCGATCTGCATCCTCTGGAATTCTTGGTTTTGCTCCCTAGGGGCTTCTTTAGTGTCCTCTGGCTCTGGGACTCGTAGTTCAGGTGGACTTCACTGTGATCACAGTGACAGAGATGGACATGTTGAGGCTCACTGTTACAAGAAGAAGAGGCAACAGACTCAGTCTTGCCAAGGTGGGCATCCCTCGCAGGGTTCTCGACTTCTAGTAGTGTGACTCTCAGCATAGTGATACACAAGAGATACTCATGTTGCTTCGTCGTCTTGCAACCTTTGTTCCTAATGGAGCTGCTGATTCTGTCACTCCTGCCCCTGCACTATCTGTTGCTACTTCTCAGTCTTCTATTGAGGGACCACCATCTACTTTAGGTATCTTGCCATGGATTCTTGACTCTGGTGCTTTTTTTCGTATGACGCCTAATAGTACTCATCTTTCTTCCATTTGCCCCCCTTCTATTCCTCTTACCATTCAAACTGCTGATGGTTCACCTCTTTCGCTTGTTGGTCGTGACACTCTTTCATCCTCTTCCTTTCATGTTCTCAGTGTTTCTTATGTCCCTAATTTGACCATGCAACTTATTTTTGTTGTCCAGCTCACCGATCATGGTTATCGTGTTATTCTTAATTCTGACTCTTGTCGTGTCCAGGATCTCAGCTCGGGTCTCCTAGTTGGTACTGGCCCTTGCCGTCGTGATTCTCAATGTCTTTGGGAGCTTGACTGGCTTCGTCTTCCTTCCGCTGCCTCTGCCAGTCTTGTGGGCTCTGCTTCTCCTGCATCGACTTCTTCATCTTTTGCTCAGTGGCATCATCGATTGGGATGTTTGTGTGGTTCCCGGTTATCCACTCTTGTTCCCGGTTATCCACTCTTATTCATCGTGATCTTTTGGGGAATGTCTCTAGTGATGTTTCTTTAGATTAGTGTCAGGGCTGTAAGCTTGGCAAACATATCCAGCTCCCATATTCCTATAGTGGGTCAGTGTTACAGCATCCTTTTGACCTTGTTCATTCTGATGTATAGGGTCTCGCACCCTTCGTCTCGAAAGGGGGTCATCAATATTATGTCATATTTATCGATGATTTCTCTCGCTTCACATGGGTGTACTTTGTGAAACATCGTAATGAGGTGTTATCCATATATAAGACCTTTGCTCATATGATTCATACTCAATTTGGTGCTTCTATTCGTGTTTTTTGTGCTGATTCTGTTGGGGAGTATCTTTCGAGCGCTCTTCACCAATTTCTTTCTAATTAGGGCACTCTTTCTCAGTTTTCTTGTCCTGGTGTGTCTGCTCAAAGTGGTGTTGCTGAGCACAAGCATTGCCACCTTCTTGAAACTGCTCGTGATCTTATGATTGCTTCATATGTTCAACCTAATTTTTGGGCTAATGTAATCTGTAATGCCACTTAATTAACTAACATTCTTCCTTCATCCGCTCTTCAAGGTGGAATCCCATATGAGCGCCTCTATGGACAACCACCTGATTACTCCGGTCTTCGCCTTTTTGGATGTCTATGCTATGTCCTTCTTGCTCCTCGTGAACGCACTAAGCTGACACATCAATCTGTTGAGTGTGTTTTCTTGGGTTGTAGTGCTGAACACAAGGGATATCATTGTTGGAATCCTATTGCTCATCGTATGTGGATTTCTCGAGATGTTACTTTTGATGAGTCTCGTCCATTCTATCCTCGGCCTTCCTCTGATGTTTCTCCTCAGGCTGTTGTTGAGCCTCTTTCCCTCTTGACCTTTCCTGATTCACCTAGCTCCATTTTTTTTCTTCCTCCACCTTCTCCATCATCTCCAACTCCACCACTGCTCTCGGAGCCACCTTTCATAGGCTTCTCTTAGGTCCAGCTATGATTCCAAGCCTCCTATGATTCACACCTACAGTCGCCACCTCTAGGATCCATCGCCTCCTATTGATTCATTTCCTGATGTTTCACCTCCTGTTGAGACATCTTCGGTTGAGGATTTTTCCTCTCAGCCATCCTCTCGTTATGATCTTCACGATCTTGGGTCGTTGAAGCCTATAGACCGATATGGTTTTGCTAGCACGGTTCTTTCTGAGCCAACCACATACCATGATGCCATTTGTCATCCAGAATGGCAACATGCCATGGCTAAGGAGATCGCTGCTCTTGAGCGCACTGGCACTTGGGATCTTGTTCCTCTTCCTTCTCATGCTCGTCCCATCACGTGCAAGTGGGTTTATATGATTAAGACTCGCTCTGATGGCTCTTTTGAGCGTTATAAGGCTCGTCTTGTTACTCATGATTTTTAGCAGGAGCATGGTTGCGATTATGATGAGACCTTTGCTCCTGTGGCTCATATGACTACTGTTTGTACTCTCCTTGTTTTGGCCTCTGTTCATGCTTGGTCTATTTCTCAGCTTGATGTAAAAAATGCCTTTGTTAATGGTGAACTCCATGAGGAGGTCTACATGCGACCACCTCCTAGGTATCTTGTTCCAGATGGCATGGTTTGTCGTCTTCATCACTGTCTTTATGGTCTGAAACAAGCTCCTCAGCATTTTGCCTCTGTGATCACTGTTGCTAGTTTTTCTCCGAGTGATCATGACCCCACCTTGTTTATCCATACTTCATCTCCAAGCCACACTCTTCTTCTACTTTATGTTTATGATATGATCATCACTAGTGATGATTCTGAGTATATTGCCTTTGTGAAGGCATGTCTTCCTCATGTCCGATCTTGGTTCTCTTTGTTACTTTCTTGGAATTGATGTATCTTCCACCTCTGATGTCATTTATCTGTCCCAAGAAAAGTACATCCAAAATCTTCTTGATCGCTCCTCTCTCACTGATCATCGCACTGTTGAGACCCCCAAGAACTTAATCTTCATTTTTGCCCCACTGATGGTGAACCTCTCACTGATCCTACTCGGTATCACCATATTGTGGGGAATCTTGTCTATTTGGGTGTGACTAGTCCTGACATCTCTTATGGTGTGCACATTCTTAGTCAGTTTGTTTCTGCTCCCACTCACCTTCACTATAGTCATCTTCTTCGTGTCTTGCCTTACCTATGTGGGACCATTACTCGTCGTTTGTTCTTTTCGTGCTCTGATTCCTTTCATCTCCAAGCCTACTCTGATGCTACTTGGGCTAGCGACTCTTCCGACCGTCGCTCTCTTTCTACCTATTGTGTTTTTCTTGGTGGTTCTCTCTTTGCTTGGAAGACTAAGAAGCAAACTGCGGTTTCTCATTCGAGTGCAGAGGCTGAGTTGCGAGCTATGGCTCTTCGACAGCAGATGTTACTTGGCTGCGATGGTTACTTGAGGATTTTGGTGTTTCAATTTCTGTGTCAACCCCTCTCTTGTCTGACAGTACTGGTGCTATTACATAGCTCATGATCCGGTGAAGCATGAGCTCACCAAGCATATCGGTGTTGATTTATCTTACACTCGGGCACAAGTGCAAGATGATGTCATTACTCTTCGCTATGTGCCTTTAGAGCTTCAGTTGGTTGAATTCTTCAACAAGGCACAGATGAGAGCTCAGCATCGGTTCTTTATCTCCAAACTCAGTTTTATGATCCACCCTGAGTTTGAGGGGGGTGTTAGATGTATATGTTGTGTAGCATAAGGGCATCTATGCATATAATGCCCATCCCATGTACATGTTTTGGCTATTGCCCCCTAGAATAGATTGAGCTCACTCTAGTCTAACAGTACAAAAACTTTCTTTTTCCTACCTTAATTGAAGGGCAGAGCCCCTGCCGTTACGTTAAAAAAAATTACTTGCCTTGTTGTAGCGGTACTACATTGACACAGCTAGGGAGCTGCGAAGGCTAGTAGGAGTTTGCAAAGCTCCTACCATACAACATTTTGTAGAATCAATAACAGGGTCAACTACCATTAGAAGTTTCGGTAAGGAAAATCAGTTTGTGTCAACTAATAGCCATATAGCAGATGCCTACTCTCGACCGAAATTCTACAACATTGGAGCAAAGGAATGGCTTCGCTTTCGTCTGGATGTGTTGTCATCTCTGGTATTTGCCTTCTCTTTGATATTTTTGATCAGTCTACCAACCGGTATCAATGATCCAGGTATATATCATGTTAATTCTGAACATTATTTATAGTTTGGCTGGCTGGATGACAGTAAATTAGATAGGATTTGTTATGGATTCGTAACTAACATCATGATGAACTTTCAGGTATTGCTGGTCTTGCCATCACATATGGGCTTAACCTGAACATCCTTCAAGCATCGGTTGTCTGGGTATGTGCACTTTGGAGAACAAGATAATACCAGTAGAGAGAATTCTACAGTACATTAACATTCCTGCAGAACCCCCGCTTGTTATGTCACAAGATAAGTTGGCTCATAACTGGCCATCTAATGGAGAAATTCAGCTCCATAATTTCCATGTAAATCCCTCATCCTTTAGCCGTTGCGCTGTATTCCTTTTTCTGTATTAGAATAGTTTTTTTTGAACTATCATGGTGGAGGAGGGGAGTTAATCCGCACCTGAATACATATTGATATAAATCAAAACCCATTCATCAAGTTAATTTTGGAAAACCAGACTAAAACCCTACAAACAACCTCAACGCAAGGGCAAGCTTGTGGCATATCCACAAAATTAAAACAACAACAAAGCCCCATCACAAGGGCGGACGGTGGCACAACCACAACACACCAGTAAGAAGAAAAAGAAATTGCAACACCAAGGCACGAGAACTCTTCAAGATGCCTATAGGGAGGTGAACGACGTAGGGGCGTAATCATCGTCAACCAAGCAGGAGCTTAGCAAGGCTTTCACCTGAGTCTTGTGCCAAGGAGGGCCACGAATGGTCAGGCTGCAAGAGGTTCTTCAGTGATGCGCGATGCCTTCAACAAGGAAGCTCCACCCGGTGGCGTTCTCGCCACTGGCTCAGCCTAGGGCTGAGCTGAGCTTTCACCTAGAACCTTCGTAAGAGCTCTCGTAGACGGTGCGACAAAAGACATTGTTGTCACATCCGAAATCCAGAGTTGACATCCTGATGCCGCCACCACGCTACCACCGCCACCGCGGACACAGGCATGGATGACACCGTCGTACTGCCGAGACGGTGCTCTACCCTTCCCGACAAGAGGCACAGGGGAAGGGCAACCGCGGACACGCAGCCCCGAGTATGTACCGCGCACCAAACTGCATGCACCACGCACGCACGTGTAGAGGGAACTGCTACCAGAGCGCCATCTGTGCCTTGAGGT